TACGCATATCATAATATAAGCACAATATCTTAGCATAAAAGTAAATACACGAAAGAATACATACCAACTACAACATCGGGCGTCGCGCAGACCTCCTCCGCAGTCAACTGAAAAGCTCTCCCACGAGCCTTCGGAGCCTCGGCTTTCACCGGCCGAGTCTCGGTAACCCTAGAAGTAGGCGTAGATCCGTGGTGAAGCTGAGGACACTCGGCCTTCCAATGGCAGGTCTGGTTGCAATGAAAGCAAACCATAAATCCCTTGGGGAAATCCCTAGCAATGTGCCCCTCCTTGCCACACTTGTAGCAAGCACCTGATCGACATGCCCCCTCATGACCCTTGCCGCACTTTCCGCAAGTGCGGCCCTTTTGACCTCCCGTCCTCGAATCAGCGGACTTGGTCCGCTTGGCTGCCGGCTGGGACTGAGCCGGCCGCCGATCCACCCGCTGAGACTCGGCCTCCTCCCTGGCCCAAGTCTCCAACTCGATCTCTCTCTTCCTGGCATTTTCCTGGAGCTCAGCAAAGGTCTGGTATGACGAGTTCGATACGAACTCCCGAATATCCCTCCTCAGTACACCCAAATATCGGTTCATCCGAGCCTGCTCAGGGCAAAACATCGCCCTCTCATGAAACTTCCGAGTGATCACAGTAACCGAATCATTATCCTGATTGAGGGTCAAGAACTCCTGAACCAACCGTTCCCTCTCCACCGGGGGAACATACTCGTCCCTGAACATAGAAGTAAATCTCTCCCAAGTCATAGCTGAAATCTCTGCAAGAGTGAAGTTCGCCGTCACGAACTTCCACCATTCCTTTGCTCCCAGGCGGAGCTGGTTCAAAGCGAACTGTACCCTCAGATGCTCCAGACATGAACAAGTGTAGAAGCATCCCTTAATATCAGCAATCCATCTCATCGCAACGATCGGATCTTGCGTCCCGTCAAACTCGGGTGGCTTTGTGTTGCTGAACTGTAACATCCGGATTTTACCAGGTATCTTGTAAATCTAATTTTGTTGTTTTGTGAGAGGGGACTCGGCGAGTTGGAGCTCAGACTCGCTGAGTAGGGACGCGGGTTTGGGCAATGGAGCGCGCCTGGACTCGGCGAGTCCAGGATATGGACTCGGCGAGTCTGCGCTGGGTAATGAAACCCTAAATCTCCGGGTTTGAGGCCTATTTAAAGGACCTTATGGCCGTCATTTGTGCTCACCCAACCCTCAGTGAGTGCCCCCAGAGTCCTTGAGCGATTTGTGAAGAGAAGAGAGCCATTCTTGATCTTGTGTGTGTTGTTTAGCAAGAAGAAGAAGACCCTAGGCAAGAGGAAGCAAAGGAGGTTGCTATTTCGTGGGTTTGGAGCTTAGATCATCACTCTAGAGGTATTATCTCGGACCATTTTCTGTTTAATGAAGCATGATGCAATTTAGGGCTTGTGATGGTCATTTATGGGATGATTTGATGCCCATTGGTTCCCTCTTTGAGTTGAGGCCATGGATCTGGATCCATAGAGGTCCAGAGAGCCTCACTCATCAAGCTTTATGAGTGGCAATAGAGTCTTTGACCTTGTGTTGTAACATTTGAGTCATAAACATCATATATAGTCATATAGAGATTGTATGTGCATCAAGATTGTAACTTTACGTGCTAAATGAGCTTGGAGGGACTGGATCTATGGATTAATGAACTGGATCTGACCTTTAGAGCAAGATTGAGTCAGTGCATGGCATGGACTCACCGAGTCCGAAGAGCAGACTCGGCGAGTAGCATGAATGTTGCCCGACCACTCTGTGAGTGGCCTCGCCGAGTTGGGAAAAGTGAACTCAGTGGGTCAAGGGGGAGTCAGAATGGACAGGTGGACCGAGTCAAACTGGACTCGCCGAGTTGTTCTTGAGACTCGGCGAGTTGAGTCGTGGTGGCACCACAACTCGTGCCAGGTGGAACTCGTCGAGTTGAGGGAAATGCTCGACGTGTCAGGGGAGGGTTCCAGGGAAATTGGTGCATGCGCTCAGACTCGCCGAGTCGCTATAGTGCACTCGCCGAGTCTGGTCAAAGTTGACCGTTGACTGTTGACCATCGTTGACCTAGATTGACTTGTTATAGTGTGGTCAACCCTAGTTGGGAAAGTGTTAATTAGAGGTGTATTGTGCTATAGGGGGACGACAGCTCGACAGGTCGAGCGATTAGCGATTTCAGGTTTACGATTTACCGAGACACGCGAGGTGAGTCTTCTCACTATACTTTACCTTGAGTAGGTAATCAGAGTTATGTGATAGAGTATTTGTATGCTATGTATGTTACGTGTTGCACTGCATTACTTCTATGTGATTGATGCTGTGCATGTTTACAGAGTTAGAAACGGAAGGTTCACAGAGTTAGAACCTGAGGGTTCACAGAGTTTGGGTGCACGGACCCACAGAGTTATAGCCTCGAGTGGCTAATTTGTGTTATATGTAGTATTTTGGGGAACTCACTAAGCCTTGTGCTTACAGTGTTGATGTTATTGTTTCAGGTACTAGTGACGACCGCGGGAAGGCGCCGGCTTGATCCGTACACACACATATTCGGAGCTTGATATCATGATCTTGGGATTTTGTATTGTCTTGTTTGGATAATTAAAATGGTTGTTTTATGAATATCAGTGGAATTATGTTTTATATAAATTGAAAATTTTGTTTGAAAATTTTCGGTGTTACATGAACTCCCAGAATAGCAACTAGTCACCTCCCTGTGGTATGGCAGCGGCCACAGCTGCGGTAGCTGCAGCGGCTGCGGCCTCAGTCACGGCGGCGTACCGCTCATCAAAAGTCTCCACCAGTGTGGTCTTGATAGACCCAAACATCTCTGGAATCTCGGTCCGGATCGCTGTAGCCACCTCCTCGTGAATCATCTGACGAAGCTCCTCGTCACTCACACCGCTCGTACCAGGTCTGTGGCGTGGTCCAACCATAATGCCTCTGAAATACAACATAAAAATATCAGAGACTCCATCGAGCATAATCACACTCGATAACGCAACCCTACTCGGTCTCCGATACCTAAGGATTCTTACTTGGGTTGCCCACTGACCCGGTGTCTTCAGTAGCACGGGCCCAATACTACCGACTCCACCGCATCAGCATTCACCCCAAGTCCTCCTCCCCAAACCCCGGATCATGAGTACTCTATTCTTGCTATGCATTGGCTACCCACTCGCTCTCAAAGCCTCTCATAGCAGCAGGTTCCCCTAGACTAAGGCATCACAAATCAGGCCACTCTAGTCCTAATATGAATACCTAGTCTACTAGCATGCGTATCATATCATAACATATCTCATAACACATATTGTAAGGGTATTTTGGGGATTTTACCATTCGGGCACTGACTGACCATACACACTGCTTCTCCTTTGGTTGTTACGAAATCTTTTATCAAATTTTTATTTTTATTAATTAAAAATTTTCCTCAAATCCTTGGTTTGAGTTCAGTTACGCCCGAAGGTGTATCCGAATCCCTCAAACCAAGGCTCTGATACCAACTTGTAACAACGTAAACTTTAAAACAAAATTTTCATTTTTGCAAACATCAAAACCATCGTTTAATATTCCGAAATTCAAATGTGTAACAATGTTATCATAACAAAATACATCCCATGATCATAAAACAGTTCCTCCGTCAGTGTGTATAATCACGCCGACGCCTTCCCACGGTCCTCGCTAGTACCTGAAACACATAACACAACAACTGTAAGCATAAATTCTTAGTGAGTTCCGCAAAATACTACTTACGCACATACGCCTTTCCAGGCCCTGACCTTCCGGTCCATGTGTCTCAGCGGACTTCCGTCCTGACTCGGTAAACCTTCCGGTCCTACCTGCATCAACCTTACGGTCCACATCACAACGCCTTCCGACCCATAACATATACGCCTTCCGGCCCATAACATAATGCCTTCCGGCCCATATCAAGCATATCATACATAACACATATAAACGATTAACTTATCATATACAATGCATATAACTCATAACATATCCGACCTTCCGGTCACACAATAAAAATCCTTCTGGGTACAGTATAGTGAGAAAACTCACCTTGTGGAAAGTCTAAAATCTCGCGTACTCGCTATCTCCAAATCCCGACGACGACTCTACCTCGCCTAATCATAAAAATATCATTTCAATAATTAAAGACTTCCACAACTAAACTTTAGCCGTTATCATCATTCCTCAGAGGGTAAAAGACCATTTTACCCTTCCTTGACCCAAAGTCTTCATGTTGACCAAAACCCTAAAAGTCAACAAAAGTCAACCCTTTGAGTACGCGGGGCGTACTGCTTGATGTACGCGGGGCGTACATCGCCAACCCATGGATCGGGGTTTCCACCCAATACGTTGCGCGTACTGGGAGTTACGCCCAGCGTAACCATCAGACTTTAGCATACATCATTTCTGGTCTTAATCGGTTAAGCCATTACTCCAACTTCTAGATCCAGCTTTATTTATGCATCTATACCATAAAGTCGAGACCTTTAAAGCCTTGGCATGAATGTAAAGGCTCCAACACTTCTTAACATCATTCTATTCCAACTCAAGGACCTAGATCTCATGCATGTGCAACATTCACGTTCCAAGATTACATTTTTATGAGTCTACAACTCAAATAGACCAGAAATATGATGGATCTAAGCTTATGGAGACCATTTGCTCAAAAAGTCTCCACCTTTAGGACTAAAACCCTAAAAAATGGTACTTTAAGCATATTACATGAACTATATGTCAAGATCCGAACTTTTTACCTTATAATGAAGCTTTAACCTTTGCAAAGCTCAGATCCACACTTGAACACCACTTCTAGCCTTCCCAATGAGCTCTTCTTCTCCTTTGCTACCTTGAAATGGCACTACCAAGCTTAGAATACTCTCAAATGGCCTAAGAACGAATACACACTCTCTTTAGGGTTTCTTTCTGAGGGATGGTGGCTGAGGAGTTGAGCCACACATTCCTTTTATAGCCCTCCAAAT